CTCAAGAATTTTATATTTTTACAGTCTACAGTTTTGAAGGATAGTCAAACACATAAGAATAGAAACAACTTTGAGTTGGATCAGTGCTATGAAGGAAATAAACAGGATACTGTGTTAAATAACAACAATGGGACGGGAGGGGGGCCAACAGGGGAAGTACAGTCAGAGAAAAAGAGTAGAAGAGCTACTATCCAAAACCAGCCAAACCTCTACCATGCTGCTGTGCTGTCAATGCCTGGGTGGGCTTCTTAGAAGCCTTCAGTCAGAACCTCACTGATGGTTGGGGTTTTTTTTGTTTTTTGGGGTTTTTTTTTGGCCGGGGCTGGGTTTGAATCTGCCACCTCTGGCATATGGGGCCAGCGCCCTACCCTTTTGAGCCATAGGCACCACCCTGATGGTAGGTTTGATTCAGTAGCTTATAAACCAGGTGACTGAACTGTGGTTCCTCTTGTACTGGGAAGGATTATTATGGAAACTTGACATTAGTGTAGTAAAACCTATCTTACGGAGTTCTAAAGCTGACTGTATTAGTGAGGGAACAATCCAATGATAAGTAAATTATCCCCAATAAAGATATGATGAACTGACAGAAAGGACCAAAAAGTGGGCTTCAGTGAATGCTTGGTTGCACAAAGCCAATCACACCTTTTCTGACACCCCCTGCTTAAAACCAAAAAAGGTCAGAAAGATTGGGGGCCACCTTCAGAGTTTGTGTTTATACTGAAAATCAAGATAAAGTGACTTTTCCCCCTTATGCTGCAGTGGAGTTTTGTCTTCCCTGAGCTTTTCTTAGGACATCCATGTTACCCTTTACCTCCCTCCCATGATATAGGAGGGAGGTAAGGTAGGGGCAGGTACCACTAGGGGTCTCCGACTTCTTCTGCACCTCTCATACCTCTTTACTGTGGCAGACTACAGTCATGCTCAATAGGATCTTTTTTAGCTGATTCTCTCAAGCCCATTCATTCTGTTAGCTCTGTTTTCACTAGGACAATTGATGAGGCATTAACTACCATGAGAGATCATAATTACCCTGCTATTTATCTACCTTCATTGAATTTCTTTACTGAGAGTCCTTGGCAGAAATCACATCAAGTCAGCACCTGCTGCTGGCTTTTGTTTTAGGTAAACAGTTGATTCCCAGGATTGTGACAGTTAAAAAGGTACATCTTGATTTTAGTCACTTGCTAAACTATGATATAAGGGGGCAGATGAAGTGAAATTGGAGAGGTAGGCAGGTGCCACGTCATGCCAGTTTTTGGTGAGACATTTGAATATTTTCAAAGTGTAAATGGAAGGATTTAAAATTTTAAGCAGAGTCAGTACTTGGTTTGTCTTTATGTTTTAAAATGGTATACATACCCCTCTGGTGAATGGGTTGGAGAAATATTACAGTGGGGTACAGTAAGGGATTAGCCTTTTTAGTAGTCTCAGAAGTCATAGCAGGTTTGGATTTTTTTTTTTTTTTTGAGACAGAGCCTCAAGCTGTCCCCCTGGGTAGAGTGCCATGGCATTACAGCTCACAGCAACCTCCAACTCCTGGGCTCAAGCGAGTCTCCTGCCTCCGCCTCCCAAGTAGCTGGGACCACAGGCGCCCGCCACAACGCCTGGCTATTTTTTGGTTGCAGCCGTCATTGTTGTTTGGCGGGTCCGGGCTGGGGATTCGAACCCGCCACCTTAGGTGTACGTGGCTGGCGCCTTAGCCGGTTGAGCTATAGGCGCGGAGCCGCAGGTTTGGATTTAGTAGCAGTGGAGATGTAGAAAATGGATGGGTTGAGATAACATAGAAGGTAAAACTGACAGATCTTAATGATATTTTGCACATGAGTTTAGAGTTCAGAAGAGGAAACATCCAAAGATAAATATTTGAGAGTAACATATAGTTGGTAGTTGTTAGGTTCAATTCAGTGTGTGTCACAGGTAAGATTTACTGAGAAGAAGAGGGATTGGAACCAACTCCTGGGAAAGCAAGCTGTTGTGAAGAAAGGAAGGGCCTATGAGGGAGCTGAAGGAAAGTCACTAATGTAGAAGTGAAACTGGTTCGCATGGTATCTTGGAAGTCAAGAGAAAAGTATTTCCCATAGATGGTGTGATTTGAGAATGCTTTCTGCAGGTTTCATAAGAAAGAAAAATTGAAACAACTTGTATAGTAAGCAGTGGAGACTGGTTAAATTATTGCAGTTTATCTGCTGTTCAGTCTGCCATGGATAACCACTTCTTCACTTTATTCAGGTTTCTGATCAAATACCTCCTCAAAGAGATCCTACCTGACAACTCTTGTTTCTTTTACAGAATCTGGGATGCTGTTGTTTGCACCCTACCATCATTATCGCTTAAGAAAGAAGAAACATTGCCATATTGTTAGAATATCTGTGATTTGTGAGATGAATACTGATGATAGATTTGTTAAAATAGGAAATATTGTAAATAATTGGTGGAATACTGTAAAGTGGTACCCTTAATACTCACTAATAAATATATCTATTTACTTGTCACTGTTACTGAAGGGCAGGCTTCATGAAGGTAGAGACTTTTGTTTGCTGCTGATTCCTCAGTGACTTCTTTAACTGTACTTGGTGAATAGTAGGCACAATGAAAAAAAATCCTAAATTTTGTGAGTCTTAAGAAACATAAACTATATTTCTATTTTAGTGTTCCTTAAAAAATGCAATTTCTAGCTGGGGATGGTGGCTCATGCCTGTAATCCTAACACTCTGGGAGGCTGACACTAGTGGATTGCTTAAGCTCAGAAGTTCAAGACCATCCTGACCAAGAGTAAGACCCCCGCCTGTACTAAAAATAGAAAAATTAGCCGGACATTGTGGCTGGTTCCTATAGTCCCAGCTACTCAGGAGGCTGAGGCCAGAGGATCTCTTGAGCCCAAGAGTTTGAGGTTGCTGTGAGCTATGACACCATAGCACTCTGTGCAGGGCAGCAGAGTGAGACTCTGTCTCAAAAAAGCGCAATTTCTTAGAAAAGACCTGGTACAAAAGTGAAAAGAATTCAGGTGGGTGCCAGAGCTAGGAAAAAATCCTTAAATACAACATAATTCTATAGTTCAGAGGTAATTAGAATTTATATATATATCTATTCAGAAACATACTTTTGAAAACATGCTTCTCAGTAGAATACTTAGTATTTTGATTTTTTTCCCCATGTCCTTGTACAGTCTTCAAAAATAAGATGTTTGCTAACTCTGTACTCTTTAGCACATGGATGAAACATTACCTGGTATGTTATCAGCATTTTAAACTTCAGAGTTTATGAGAATAAAGAGCCAGTGTGTGGACTTTGTTTATTATCTGAAGAATTCAATTTTTATTTCTAAATTTGATTACTTGAGTATAAAATACTTATCTGGGCTGGGTGTGGTGGTTCATGCCAATAATCCCAGCACTGAGGGAGCCCAAGGCAAGAACATTGTTTTAGACCAGGCTGGGCAATATAGTGAGACCCTGTCCCCGCCCCTCCCCCCATATATATATATGTGTGTGTGTGTGTGTGTGTGTGTGTGTGTTTTTAGATAGATCCTCACTCAGTCACCCTAGGGTTGAGTGGTGTGGCATTATAGCTCACAGCAACCTTGAACTCTTGGGTTCCAGTGAACCCAAGAACTACTTGCCTCAGCCTCCCAAGTAGGTGGGACTACATGTGCCTATCACAAGGCCCAGGTGTTTCTTTTTTTTTTTAGAAATGGAATCTCACTCTTGCTCAGTTTGTCTTAATCTCCTGAGCTCAAGCAGTCCACCCACCTTGTCCTCCCAGAGTTGCTAGCATTACAGGGATGAGCCACCATGCCTGGTCTTCACAAAAAATAATTTATTTATTTATTTTTTGCAGTTTTGGCCAGAGCTGGGCTTGAACCCACCACCTCCAGCATAAGGGGTCAGCACCCTACTCCTTTGAGCCACAGGTGCTGCCCACAAAAAATATAATTTAAAAAAATTAACCAGGCATGGCAATGCATGCCTGTAATCTTAGCTACTTGAGAGACTGAGGCAGAGGGAGTGTTTCTGAGGTTACAGTTAGGTGGGATCAGGCAACACTGTGTTCCAGCCTGGGCTGGAATGAGACACCACCTCCAAATAAATAAATACATAAAATATATACTCCATGCATGCACACACATCCAGTGCCAAAAAATGCATATACGTTTCAAGAAAGGAAAAAAATGTATTAAAATTGTAATACTCAATATATATCAAGAACATGTGTTATCTTGTATGTTGTTATCCTGCAGCTCTTGTAATTTTTCTTACTTAAATGCATATACATTTTTTAGCACTGTGTGTGTGTATGTATAACCTATTTTCTCTGTAGAGAAACTAATACATAGACCTGGAATCCCCAGTGCCTTAATGGGTCTGAAGTACTTGTTTATCCTTCCTAAAGCCTTAGACATGGTAGAAGAAGAGAGTGTTTACCTATTTGTAAAGTGAGAGAGAGGTACCACATGGTTTCTAAGGTTTCCAAGGCTGATATAAATTCTTCTCTTAGTTGCTTGTCTTGCTAGTCTTGAATTTTTTTTATGATAGGAATTGTAAAACATGAAATGTTGACTTTTAGAATATACACGAATTTTTCAGTTAATTAAAAAAATTTTTATCTTTCAGATGAACTCAAAATAATTTAAGTTTGGCTCGGCGCCTGTGGCTCAAGTTGCTAAGGCGCCAGCCACATACACCTAAGGTGGCGGGTTCGAATCCAGCCCGGGCCCGCCAAACAATGACAGCTGCAACCAAAAACTATCCGGGCGTTGTGGTGGGCACCTGTGGTCCCAGCTACTTGGGAGGCTGAGGCAGGAGACTTGCTTGAGCCCAGGGGTTGGAGGTTGCTGTGAGCCGTAATGCCACGGCACCCTACCCAGGGGGGACAGCTTGAGGCTCTGTCTCAAAAAAAAAAAAAAAAAAAAAATTATGTTTTATTGGGACCAATTTTTAGTCCTTTGGGAAAAAAGTATTTCTATGTGAAAAGTAAAATAACTTTTTTTTTTTTTTTAGAAGTCAATGAAAGGATTCTATTTTGCAAAGTTGTATTATGAAGCTAAAGAATATGATCTTGCTAAAAAGTAAGTACAACCCGTAAACATATATTAGTTTTGTGAAATCAATGTCTTTCCTCATGTTCTTTGAAATAGATTAAAATATATTCTTCAGCAGTTCTTCCTAAGTGTATCCTGGAATAAGGGATTCATTACTTTTAGATTGTTAAGGACCAGCCTAGATTCTGCTGAGATTGTTCATAGAATGAGTATTTTCTGCATACTGCTCCTTGTTTATACCATACCTACTAAAAGAAATTGTTCAGTGTAGAATACTTTGTGGGTGAGGGTGGGGAGAACAGGAGGCGGGCTCCCAGACCAATTCCATCTGGTTGGTTCTCCCACCGTCCTGCCCCAGGCCGCGGGTCTCAGCAGCTTTGGCGGTGGGAGGAGTGGCAGCGGCCAGGCAGCGCAGCTTTGTGAAGGCTCTGGGCTCATTGCGGCCCCCAGGCACCCAACATGCGCCCTGCCCACTGCATCGTTGCGGAAGACAGGACGAGGGTCAGCTCTGCCCAAGGCGCTGGGAAGGAAGAGCTGCGAAAGTGGAAATGAAACCAAAAAAGACAGCAGCAAGGGATAAATCTAAAGACAAAAAAGAGCAAAGGGAAAGCAGGCCGAAGTGGCTAACCAAGAAACCAAACAAGATTTACCAGCAGAAAACCGAGAAACTAAAACCGAGGAGAATCCAGCTGCTGATGAAGCAGGGGAGAAAGAAGCCAAGTCTGATTAATATTATAAACCATGTCTTATCAGTGGTCCCTGTCTCCCTTCTTGTACAACCCAGAGGAATATTTTTATCAACTATTTTGTAAATGTAAGTTTTTAGTAGCCCTAGAAACATTTTTAGGAAGGAGGGAATCTCACCTCATCCCATTTTTTGAGTGTAAATGCTTTTTTGTTTAAAAAGAGGTGAAATCATTTGCTGGTTGTTTATTTTTTGATACAACCAGAAAACAGTGTGGGATGTTGAATTATGGGAGGCTTAGACTGTCTTGGGTGTCAGCTTAACATTCCATAGATGGGAGTTAGTTTTTATATACTGTAATACAAAGCATGCTAAATGGCTGTATGGAGTTCTAGTCCTGCATTTAATGTCTTGAACATTTTAAATTACTTCCATTCCCGTGTTGTTTTTTAGTAGAATTGTTTCCTAAAGAGAACCACTCGTATGATCATGGCTCTCCGTGTCAGAATTGTGTACACTCTGTAACATTTTTCGTTGTGGTAGTACTGTTTTCCTAATAACTTTGTCACTGTGCTGTGAAGGACTGAAAATTTGAGTATGAATTGGTGGGACTTAACAGTTTATTGACATTTGAAGATACTGGTACTTGATATCCTCTTAAGGAGAATTGCCTCCAAATTTTAATCTGGAAAGTCATAGGAATAACTGTTTAAAAAAGAATTACAATAAATGACTTTTTAGATTTGGGGTACACATGTTAAGAATTGTGTATAGGCTTGGCGCCTGTGGCTCAAGTGGCTAAAGCACCAGCCACACACCTGAGCTGGTAGGTTCAAATCCAGCCTGGGCCCTCCAAACAACAATGATGGCTGCAACCAAAAAAAAGAAAAAAATAGCCGGGTGTTGTGGCAGGTGCCTGTTGTTCTAGCTACTTGGGAGGCAGAGGCAGGAGAATCGCTTGAGCCCAGGAGTTGGGCTGTGAGCTATGGTGCCACAGCACTCTACCCAGGGGGACAGCTTGTGGCTCTGTCTCAAAAAAGAAAAAAAAAATTGTGTACAAATTGAAATGTCTGTACTAATGCTCAGCACAACCAATAAAATCTCAACTACAAAGAAAAAAAATACTTTGTCTAAAAATCTGTCTTGCATTAAAAGAGGACCTTGCCTATATCATTTTGGTTACATATCCGATAACATTAGTCAGCTGGAAAAGAGCAGTGAATACAGAATAAAACTTCCATTACTGGCCAGGAGAATAGCTTATGTGAAAGATCTTTGATTGAATTAATATGCAACACTCTGGGGTTTTGTCTGCTCCTTAGGGCTAAAAAGCTTGATGATTCTGAGTTCCTGTCTTGGCATGGCTTAAAGCAGGAAATTAGGAGGGAGTCAGGCTAGTAAAGGCAGAAAGATGCAAATGCTGATACAGAAGTAAAATGGGGCTTTATTTGGTGGTACTTCAGTGACACTGGGGCTGTTAACCTTTATTCCTTGTTAATGTGAGACTTTTCTCTAGTAGTTTCTGTCTTTGGTCTAATTTCTTTTATGATAGATAACATTGTCATTAAACCTAAAGGATATTTACTTATATTCAGTTGCTACTTGATTTAAAAAGTGGAAATTATCTGTATTTACTTACTTGTAGTTAGTAATTTTTCTTTTCAATTTTAACTGGGCATAGTAGTGTAAAAAAATAATTTTCTTGTTTAAAAGATGTGTACATTTTTCTGTTACTGTTTGGGAAATTTGTACTCTTTAGTATTTTGCAGTATCATAACTTTAAAAATGTCAACTAATTAATTTTCTGATTTATATGCAAAATTCTTTGTATATAAATGTGATCAGGAAGAAAATGCGGTTTATGCAGGGTGTCCATAATGTTTGTGTGCAGTTTAAAATTACACACAAACTTTATAGCCACCCTGTATGTTTATTTCTTAAATGTGGATGACATTGGAAAAAATATTTGGTAAAGGTGGCATTTAATTGTAGAATGAGTATGTTGTCAACTCTGTGTTTTTAAGTATTATCCATTTCTTCCTATAAATACTTTTTGAGTTTTGTGCATGTTTCAGTTTAAGTAAATAGTGGTAGTCCATTGAATAACAATGTATAGTGAATGCTTGGTTGCAGATGTACTCTTCAGTTAGCAATTAAATAGTTTTAATTTTAATATTTAAACATTATTTCCTTTTGTATTATTTTAAAACAGATACATATCTACATATATTAATGTGCAAGAGAGGGATCCCAAAGCTCACAGATTTCTGGGTCTTCTTTATGAAGTAGAGGAAAACACAGACAAAGCTGTTGAGTGTTACAAGGTAAATAATAGGATTAAAATATGGCCTTTGCACAACCACACACATGATGCCCAGAGTAATTTATGTAATGAGCAAGTTACATATTTTATGGATGTCATGAAAATAAGCATTGATGTCATAGTACTAGTAAGCAATGTGGCTTGGAGCAGAATTAAAATTATTGGGCCCAAAGTACACTATAATTTAACACCTATAAATTTTAAGTCTAACATGGTCAGAAATAGTCTTTGTGTATGTGTGTTTTGCATTCACCTAATAAAACATCATTTTTGATTTGATTCATGTCCAGAAAATTCACTTAAGAGACATTTTAATTTTAACTACTTTGAAATAATATGTTATCCTCTAGGACTAGAGTTTTTAATGGGTGCAATGATAATTTTTTAACCTTTGAGTCTACATAGTTATATGCATGCAGTTTATTAATTTTTAATTTCTTTTCTAATATCAGCGTTCAGTGGAATTAAATCCAACACAAAAAGATCTCGTGTTGAAGATCGCAGAATTGCTTTGTAAAAATGATGTTACTGATGGACGAGCAAAATACTGGGTTGAAAGAGCAGCTAAACTTTTTCCGGGAAGTCCAGCAATTTATAAACTAAAGGTAAAAAAAAAAAAAAAAAAAAGACCTGATAAAACATATAAAGACACAACTATTTGTAGTATTTGGAGCTTAAATTACTTTACAATTGCAAACCTTAACCTGGAGTGTTACCTTTAGAATTTTTCTTTTACAAAAATCATTAAAACCTTTCTGAACATCTGTTGTCTTGCTAGGCAGTGTTAAGCTTTACAATTGATATCTCCTTTACCCTTGAAATATTTAATATTGTAGGAATTTTACAGTTTAGTAGCTAATGGTGGAGCAAAGATTTAAATTAAACTCTGGTATAACATTTTTGCTTCATTAGATTAAAATTACTATAGGATGACAAGTTTAGGATTTTTTTTTTTTAATTAAATCAGTCATGGGGTACAGTGTGCTGGTTTTATATATAAGTTTAGGATTGTTATAAAGAAAAGTTTTCTAGTAACTATTGTCAAAAAATGTAAAGGTTGTCTTCTGGGATAGTGAGATGTTCTAGCAAAATATACAATGATGATTGCTTTAGTATGTTAGGAGTAATTACTGAAAACAACAGGAAGTTCTTGCTAATGTATTAACTTGTCCTGATTGTTATTCTCGCTCTCTCTTTTTTCTTGAGAGTCTTATTTCGTCGCCCTGGGTAGAATGCTAGGGTGTCATAGCTCAAAGCAGCTGCAAAATCCTGGGCTCAAAGCGATTCTCCTGCATCAGCCTCCCAAGTAGCAGGGACTATAGGTGCCCACCACAACGCCCAGCTATTTTTGGAGACAGGGTCTCATTCTTGCTCAGGCTGGTCTCTAGGGCAGGCAGTCCACCTGCCTTGGCCTCCCAGAATGCTGGAATTACAGGCATGAACCACCGCACTGCACCATCTGATTGTTATTCTTTATTGAGTAAAATAAGTTTACTAAGTAACTTTCTCCTTTGGAGAAGGCCTTTGGAAATGTGTTTGACAAACACTTTTACAGTGTTATATAACATTTTTCATACATTATTATGTATGTACAATACTAAACGAATTATAAGTGAGTATTGTCTTTAGTAACCTTCCTGCCCCCAATATTTGTTACTGATAGAATTTTTGTTTTGAAATAATTATACATTTTTTTCCCACAGGAAATTGCGAAGATTGTGCAGAAAGGTCCTGTGTAACCTACAATTTTTGCTAATGATCATACAAATTGAGCAGCCCAAATCCAAAATCTGAAATGTTCCAAAGTTTGAAACTTTCTGAGTGCTGTCATGCTACTCAAGGGAATGCTCAGTGGAGCATTTTGGATTTTGGATTTTCAGATTTGGAATGCTCTACTTAAGTATAATGCAAACATTCTAAAATGTGAAAAATGTGTTATTCAAAATAATTCTGGATCCAAACATTTATTTTTTTTTTTGTTTCCAAACTTTAAAAATATATATATTTTTGAAGGTTTAAAAAGCCCCACAAACTCTTAGCTTAATTAGGAGATGCAAAACATCTCAATAGACATTTCAGCCTAAGTTTACATTTAAAATGAGTATTAGAGCAGGCCCTTTGCTACAGATGTTAACTAAGCTCACAGTCTGTGAAGCCTATAATTAATGGGTTATTTTAGGTGGTCATTTTAATGGGTACATTTATTTGGTGGTAAAAAATTATATAATGTAACCCTAATGTGCTTGTGGCGTTCACTCTAGGAAACAGAGTTCCTTAAGCATTTTGGATAAGGGACGCTCAGCTCATTTCTTACGTAATTATGGTACAATGTCAAAAGCAGGAATTTGATACGGATACTATATATGTGTATAGTTCCATTTTATTTTATCACATGTAGTCAAGATATACAAGTACTTCCTTACCACAGAGATCTCCCTCATGCCACTTCTGTTATATTCTCACCCACCACCTCCTCCATATCATCCCTAATCTGGTAACTATTAATCTGTTCTCCAACTCTGTACTTTTATAATTAAAACGTTGTGTAAATGGACTCATGAAGTATATGACCTTTTGAGGTTAGGTTTTTTTCAGTCAGCAAAGTGTCCTTTGAGATCCATCCACATTTTGTGTATTAATAGCTTGTCCCTTTACTGCTTTGCAGTGTTTTCATGTTCCAGGACTTAACCATTCACTTCTAAGGGACATTTTGGTTGTTTCCAGTTTTTGTCTGTCATTTGTTCATATGCTGTGAACAATCATGCACAGATTTTTAAATCTGAAAAAATATTTTAAAAGTTCCTAGAGATAAATATTAGTAACATGAAGCTTCCTTCTGCCCCATGATAAACAGCTTGATTTTTTTTTTTTTTTTTGAGGCAGAGCCTGGCTCTGTTGCCTGGGCTAGAGTGCCATGGCCTCAGCCTAGCTCACAGCAACCTCAAATTTCTGTGCTCGAGCAATCTTCCTGCCACAGCCTCCTGAGTAGCTAGGACTATAGATGCATACCACTATGTCTGGTTCATTTTTCTAGTTTTAGTAGATAGAGATGATGTCTGCCTTTGCTCGAGCTAGTTATGAACTCCCTTCACCTCAAGTGATCCTCCCAGCATGCTAGGATTATAGGCATGAGCCACTGCACTCAGCCAAACCAGCATGATTTTAAATATTAATCTGAAGTGTTAGGCTTAATCCTGCAGGTTTCTTTACCACATTGTCTTTGTTATGCTTCAAACATGATTCCTGTATTGGCCACATCAGTTCAGTCCATTTGGGTCTGTAGTGTTAAGAAACATACCTTATGGTAGGGTTTTATTTTTTTGGCTGTCTAAAAAATGTACAGATACTTCTGAAGCATCCCGATTTATTCTTGGTTTTTCTTAATAACCTTTTTTTCTTTTTCTTCTTCGTCTTTTTTTTTTTTTTTAACATAGTTTGACTTTGACACCCTTCATAGAGTGCCCTGGTGCCATAGCTCACAGAAACCACAAACTTTTGGGCTTAAGTGATTCTCTTGCCTCAGCGTCCCAAGTAGCAGGGATTATAGGCACCCGCCAAAACCTCCAGCTGTTTTTAGAGATAGGGTCTTGCTCTTCCTTAGGCTGGTCTTGAACTCCTGAGCCCAAGCAATTCACCCGCCTCATCCTCCCAGAAGGCTGGGATTACAGGCATGGCCCACTGTGCCTGGCCTGTTTTAATAACTTTTTAAGGCACTATTGTCTGAAATACAACTTTATTTTAGATTTTTCCCCATTTTTTGTAATTGAAATCCATGAGATTTATGATTGTTATTCAAGGTAATTTCATTCTATTGTTTTTTTTTTTTGCAGTTTTTGGCCAGGGCCATGTTTGAACCCGCCACCTCTGGTGTATGGGGTTGGCTCCCTACTCCTTTGAGCCACAGGCGTCACGTATTTTATTGTTTTTTTTTTTTTTTTGTTTGTTTGTTTGTTTGCTCTAATAGACACATTTAGAATGGCTTGGGAAGAGTAATATTATTTCTCTGCAATATAAGGCTTACTACTAATAATAATTTTCTGGCATTTGTTTAAGGAATAAAAATATTACTGGTGAGGAGGCTTTTTCTTTTGCATATCATAGGATTTTTAAAAAGTTCTCATGATGGTGGTGTTCTTTTTGGTATGACCAAATACAGATGTTGAAGACCCTGTGTCAGTGGCAAATGGAAGGCAGAGGTTGGAGCAGAATACAATTTTATGGAGATGATATTAAGGAACTGAGTAGCTAAGCTATTGTGTATCTGGTATATTCTTTTTTTTTTTTTTTCATTTTTATTTTTTGGGACAGAGCCTCAAGCTGTCCCCCTGGGTAGAGTGCCATGGCATCACAACTCACAGCAACCTCCAACTCCTGGGCTCAAGCGAGTCTCCTGCCTCCATCTCCCAAGTAGCTGGGACCACAGGCGCCCACCACAATGCCCGGCTATTTTTTGGGTGCAGCCGTCATTGTTGTTTGGCGGGCCCGGGCTGGATTCGAACCTGCCAGCTCAGGTGTACGTGGCTGGTGCCTTAGCCGCTTGAGCCACAGGCACCAAGTCTGGTATATTCTTTTAATTGCTAATACCAGTGACAATTGTTAGGGACAGAGAGTGTTTTATTCCAGCCTCACATCCTCCTCTTGTACATAGGCTCAGAGATAATAGAGGACAGGTGGTGGAGCTAATTTGAGATGGTTTCCTTTTCAGTTAAGGCCGGGAGGTAGCGACAGTTCTTTGAGAAGGTGATGAAGATAGAACAGCAAGAGCAGAGGGGATGGGAAGGGAAGAAGTCAAGATTTAGGGAGATACATAGTACAGAGTACTTTGAAGATGATGAGGATCTTGCCGAGCATTTGCTGGAGAAGTGTAGGCTTCTGAGGGTGACTGAGATGTATAGGAGCATGGGGCAGTAGTCCTGGAAGTCTCTCAGGTGAGTATGGGTGCAACTACAGCCACTACAGTAATCTCAGATGTTTCTTTCCTCAAAAAGTTATTGAGGGTTAGCTTCTGTGATGTAAGCAACTCTGTGAAGGGACTAAGAATGAAGTATGTAGGATGGTACTTTTGGTGGCATCATCCTAAATTTAGGCCATTGTGGAATGGTGCTCATATGGACTATGGCATGTTTAATATTGCACAGGCATTATTCTAAACATTTCTTTTCCCTCAAATAGGAACAGCTTTTGGATTGTAATGGTGAAGATGGATGGAATAAACTTTTTGACTTGATTCAGTCAGAACTTTATGCAAGGCCTGATGATGTCCATGTGAATATCCGACTAGTGGAGTTGTATCGCACAAATAAAAGATTGAAGGATGCTGTGGCTCACTGCCATGAGGCAGAGAGGAACATAGCTTTGCGTTCAAGTTTAGAATGGAACACGTGTGTTGTACAGACCCTTAAGGTAGGTAAAAGCTGCTGGGTGTCTATATTTCCATAGATAATTAGCATACATCTCTCATTTTTTTTTTTAATTTTATTAAGTCAAATACACATAGATCATGAATACATTTATTCATATGTGGGTTCCAATGTGTTGGTGTTTTTTTTTTTTAATACAATCTGACGTGGTTACATCAAACCAGTCATCATAGGTTTCACCTCATTTACTTGATTATTGTGCCAAAACATCTATGTTCTACACTTCACAGATTTGACTTGTACCCTTGTCATATATTCCATAGGTGTGGTCCCGTCTTCTACCCTCCCTCCTCCCCTCCTTTCCCATTCCATTTCTCCCTTTTATATTAGGCTATAGTTGTGTTGTATCTTTCGTAAGAAAGTGTGAGTAAATATAAGTAGGTTTCATAGAAGTACTGAGTACATTGGATACTTTTTCCTCCATTCTTGAGACATTTTACTCAGGAGAATATATTCCAGATCCCTCCATGTAAACATAAAAGAGGTAAAGGCTTCATCTTTTTTAAGGCTGCGCAGTATTCCATGGTATACACATACCACAATTTATTAATCCATTCATGGGTCGAGGGGCACTTGGTCTTCTTCCATGACTTGGCTATTACGAATTGAGCTGCAGTGAACAATCTGGTGCAAATATCTTTTTTGCAAAGTGATTTTGATCTTTTGGATATACTTCTAGTAGAGGGATTGCAGGATGCAATGGCAGGTCAATTTTTAGATCCCTGAGTGTTCTAGTAGAGGGATTGCAGGATGCAATGGCAGGTCAAT